ACTTTAATCAATTCCCTCAACTAACTGTTTTAGTCTCGGTTTTAGTATTTATTTGGTCTTAATTACAGTTATTATTATTATCAGTATTGTATTATAATTACACCCGATTCCTATTTTAAAATGGAATAAAAAAATAATAATTTTCCTTACCTACTTGATAAATCAATTTTGAATTCCTATTTCGTCATTCCAAATTACTTGCATTGATTATTGAAAATCCCAATAACTCGAAAACTGTTGCTCGCAGCGACCTTTACCAAGAATATGTTTTTTACACGAACATGTTCTAGAAAACTATTTTCCTACTATAGAACGTGATACAGGTACGCACAAAAAAGTTGTGACTTTTCAAAAGACTCAAAAGACATGTAGGTGCCGCCACCCTCACGAAAGAGATGAACTAACATAAAATTTGATATTGTCATCGAAAAATACCCCGAAATACCAAAATTCATTTGAATATCACAATTATTTTGAAATTTATTAACAAAAAACAAAAATTACAATTCAACTTTGACACTCTGTATCTCAGAAACGAATAACTTTCGGACATATATTTATACGAACTTTTCTTCTTATTTTGACGTCAGCAAGATGCTCCTGGATTTTCTACACGTACTTAAGTGACTTAAGAAACACCTTGTATAAAGAAAGTGCATTTTTGGAATATCTATTTGTCTTTCTACGTTATTATTAGATATATAGAAATACTTTTACATGGCATCTCTTGATGAGATTTAACGTGGTGATATATTGATTTCTCCACGCGACGTTTCGTATTCGTAGGGAAATCAACAACTTTTTTTCAAATACGGCCCTGATTATCTGTTCACAGATTTCGAAAGTTTTTTTTATTCTGAGTTCAACCATGGGGAATTATAAACAATTTTGTAAATTTTTGAAATCCATTGGTATGACCAGGTATGACCCTTGGAATGCGTAATTTTTTTCTCATTTAACCGAATTCGTATCTCTTACCGGTTCCTTATCATGGTCACACTGTTCAACTTTTTTGTTAAGTACCAATATCTATCGAGAAAAAATAGTTGAGAGATTGAAAATGGCAAAGATTTGTTATATCCAAAATGAAAGTAAGAGGAAAAATTCGAGAGATCAGACGACTAAGTTTATGTAAAAAAACAATTAGAAGAGTTGAAATAATTCACTAGGTATTTGAAATGAACATTCTCAGATATATTTATGAACAAAAAAAAATGGATATACAGGGTGGCCCACGGTCGATGGTACCCGAGATGGTACCTTAGCCGTATACGGAAAACGGTACATTGGATCATCCTGAAAATTTGGTTACTCTAATAAGCGTTTGTGATCTAACGATTCAAAATATTTTCATTGCGTTTTTAGATTCTTCTCGAAGAGCTGATTTCATCAATGTATCACACTTGGGGTCTAGCAGGAATTATTACAGAGATATAGGGTGTTCAAAATCGAAATATTCCAATTTCAGGAATTTTTTGTGTCGAAACTATTCATTATCGATCAAAACGGCTTATATGTCCCTATCTTTACTTTTGATTCACTATCTACTGACATTTAATTGGAACAGATAGAGGGTGATCAAAATTCTGAATCTTGGACCATCCTGTATTTTTTCCAATGAAATGTCGGTAGATAGTTAATCAAAAGTTAATATAGGGACATGTTAGCCGTTTTGACCAATGATGAATAGTATCGACACAAAAAAATCCTAAAGTTGAAAAATCTCGATTTTGAACACCCTATATCTCTGTAAAAATTCCTGCTAGACCCCAAGTGTGATGCATTGATTAAATCAGCTCTTCGAGAAGAATCTAAAAACGCTATAAAATACAGGGTGTTCCATTTAAAATAACAAAGATCATGCTACTTTTTGGTAAAAGTGGCAACGCTGCTTCGCTGAAAATATTTTGAATCGTTAGATCACAAACGCTTATTAGAGTAATCAGGATAATCCAATGTACCGTTTTCCGTATACGTCTAAGGTACCATCGACCGTGGGCCACCCTGTATATATAAATAAATACATTGAGAATTCGCATTCTCCATGTGATAAAAATATCAATTCAGAATTTCTTTCCACGTCCTGTATGATGAATGTCAATTCATCATACATTCAAAAATTACTAGGTATTATTTCTCGTGCACAAAACGTCAACCTTCTGTATCTAGGAATCGGCAATAAGATGTCAATCAATGAAAATGATCGATCTATCATTGTACAAAAATATAAGGAAATGAAGCGAAGGTTGAAATAAAGTAAATGATGATATTTCTCCAATACCTACCTGTATTATTTTATACATCTTTGAATAGAAGAATATTGTATTTTTTTAGCTTTTGTGCAAAAAAACTTCAAAATGTTTCTCGAGATGTTTCTCTATGCCACATGTCTGTAGCAATAAAAGTTTTGGCCCCTATATCAAGATTGTTTATGAAACTAACTCTACAGTTTATAGATCGGCTCATAGTAAGTCGCTAAATTTCATACTTATATTTCTGTGAACTCGTTTGTCCGAATTGCAAAGATATACAGGCTGTCCCTAATATGTATTCACAAAAGAATACTTAATATTCCTCATCAGACCAAAACAATATGAAATATACAAGCAAACTTACTTCAGTACAAAGTTGCTTAGTTTGAGCCTCGGTGAGATTGCTAGACAAGTAGACAACATGTTTTAAATTCTAAAATTGTTCTAAAATTGTTCTATCCGTCGTTCGGTTGCCCCCTTACGAGCAACCCTCAGAAGTCTTCGAAAGTCTTGTGCGAGCAAGGAATGACGGGTGCCTTACCTTTTAACGTGTGATCCCAAACACTTTCTTAGGCCATCAGAAAAAGTCTGCGTTCGTGGGACTCGAACCCACGATCGATACCTCGACGTGAATCGATATTGAAGCATCGAAGCACTGAGGTACGCCGGCCGCCCGAATTACTAGAATTACGAATTTTTTCGAGATCATGAGAGTAATAGAATTTTATCAAGAGTACCTTCTAGATGTTTATTTACTGAAAAAATTGAATTCTACGCCTAGCATGGAATGATATTCATCATAATTTCGATCATTATCATGATATGGGTCGTTATGGGTTTTATTGCTTGATAAAGCTATGTCAACGTAGGTACAAAATTCTCCAGAGATGTTTAGCGCCTCGTTTAGCGCCCAAACTGAGCAATTTTATACTTAGGTAGGTAGATTTGATATAATTCAATTGTTGTGGTCTGAGGAATATGTGGTATTTTTTGTATAGACCTTTTAGGCACACCCTGTATGGTATTTCAAAGTGTTCAATGAAATTGATTAACATTTACATTTTGTGTCGGCCCCATTTCAAGTAGTGTCATATGGTTTTTGTATTCTACTTGTCATTCTCTCTTATTTGGTACCCATGTCGAGGGAATTGTAAACGAATTCAGTAGTTATTTACCAAACAAGTGCGAAAAGTAGTACTTTACCGCACGCGACGGCTGTTGCACGAACGACGCGGGGCGGAGTTCGGGCAAGCCGTAAATTGTGGAAAAGACATTTGCCGCAAGAAGAGTAAGGTATGTTTTTGTCCATATTATTATTATTTGAGAAGAAAAAATGTTTGCTACAAAATCACAAAATAGTTACATAGATCATTTAGTTAGTCATAAATATCCCCATTTTCAACAATACAAAAATCGTGGCGAAAAGTAACTTTTCCGCACGCTCGTATAAAAAGGAATTTTTTTTGTCGGCAGCCATATTGGATTTCAAGCTTTGTTATAAATTGTATTCTACTTTATAATAACCGTATTGAATCTGATAATACCCATATTGACCAGACCCAAAGATATGTGTAATAAAATTTCAGCATGATTGGATATCGCGAAGTCGTCCATAAAATCGATCGCCAGACAGAACTCCGAATAATTAACAGGATTCCAACGGGAAATCTTGAAGGAAATGAAAATTTGACTGACTAACATATGATATTCTAAGTGGGACAAGGTACTCTCGGTGCTCGCGGTACCTCTCCGTCAAAAAAAAATCAACAAAGTATGTCTTGAAGCAAAATACTGTGCAGTCCATATATGTTTTCTTTCCGCAAAATTTATTTTCATATCTGAACATCGTTGAGAAATTTGACTTCAATTTTCTAAACATTGCTGGGACTACCAAGTTATTCACAAAGAATACCCAAAGAATTCCCGAACTTCCCAAAGAATTCCTCGGACTTCCCAAAGAATACCCGGACTTCCTCAGGAATTCCCGGACTTCCCAAGGAATTCCTGGACTTCCCAAGGAATTCCCAGACTTCCCAAGGAATTCCCAAAGAATTCCCGGACTTCCCAAAGAATTCCCAGACTACCCAAGGAATTCCCGTCTAGGGTACACCGGACTTCCCATGTGATTTACCCCTCATTGTATGTGAATACAATAAATTAGTATTTATTTTTTTTCCACGGAAACGAAGCAAAATATAAAAACAATTCAGAAGATCAAAATAATGTATTTTTAGTTGGTCAATAGGATATGGAGATGGAAAATTCGGAAAAATCAGTGGCGCACATTTAATTCACAATAATATTCGCTAGGGTGCCCCCGAGATGCCACTGGATTTTACAATTCCAATTGAATTATGGGTAAATTAGCCCCTCATAAAAAAGAATATCATTGCCAAATTTCAAGAGAATCGGTGGAAGCATATTGGAGATATTCATAAAAAAACGGATTTTATTTAAGTTTCACACACTATCTTGAAAACTATGCATTCGCAGACCCACGTGTGTATGAAATAAATTTCATGTTTGCTCATGCAAAATAGATAGTGATTTGGGTTCAATCTGCATATTTTGAGCACAGGATTCTATAGTTGAAATATTCCTAATTGATATTGATATTACTACTACTACTACTGCGTTGGTAAATAGGTAGAGTAAAATATGATTCCGAAATAATAAGTTTTATACTATACATTCACATCAGAATTTTTAATTAAACACCATATTGAAGTTGTATGAATTTTGTTTCAGTGTTCGCTTTGGAGAATACTTCCTTCATCTCAGTGCATTCACTCCGAACAACTTCAGGTAAGTTGAACATTTAAACGCGAGTAGAAGACTGAACTTACTATAAGACAAGTCAATTTTTTTTTTTCATGCATTTCCTCGTTGGACCCAGCACTGGATCCAACGCCCCTTGAGTCGAAACTTGTACGGGGTTAGGAAAGCATACATTTACAAACATCCATGGCCTATAACTGGGATTCGAACCAATGCCTCGGTGGGAGTCCCCATACGATGAGAGAGACAACGAATCGAAATGAAACAGTGGAATGCATCCTTGTGGAGAAATGATAATCATGAAGATTTCTATACTTCAAAGTTTGAAAATTTTGTTGATGAATTCATCAAAGGTTCACAGTTACAGCCGAAAAATGTAGAATGGAATGAGAAATCTCGATTGCTTCAAAATATTATATCTTTATACGAGTTTTAAAATACACTACTATGTCGCACGCGATGTTTGGAGTACGACGGGCGAAGCGAGGAGTACTCCAAAAAAATTAGTGCGACAATATGTCTTATAATAAAATGTGAATAATATACAATTTCTCCCATTTTGCATTCATTTGTACTCTTTCATTTGGAATAATTCATAAAAAAACATCAAGTATTAGAAATATATGGAGCAAGTATAGTTGGTAACAATGAGGAAACATTTGAATATGTTCATTTCCAAATTTGACAGATGGTAGAAAAATTATTCAAATCAACATCATCATTCCAGCGATATAATTTGAAATTCTGAATTTCCTATTTTAAGAATGACTAAAGAGACAAACTTGAGTTGCACCCCTCCTGAACTGAGAGAATTTGCCCTAACGGCTATAAATGATTTATTGCCCAAAAACCTCGTCCAGCTTATGAAGAAGAATTCCACAATTTCCAAGTATGGTGTCAAATTGGCGACCTATACACAATTGAATATCTTTATTTACCATATCCTGAGATTTTTGCACGACATTGTTTTCGGCGTTCTAGTATGTCTCATTTAGCAAATGGAGGCGGTGAAATCCTCAGCATTTACTGAATGTTACATATTATAAGCTTCTGTTGAGCGATAATTTGAGCTCAAATGAGTAGCTCAAATGTTTTCTTCTAATATAGCCTTCAACTTCTATAACACATTCTGATGCCTCTACCTCACAGTCGCATTGCACAAACAATAACTTAAATAATCAGACTAATGAGCATAATTTTGTCTCTACAGCAGCCCAACAAAACTAACCAGCAAATTTGATAGGTATAATGAATGCTCAAGAAACCTGTGATGTTATAGTTTTTTGTTAGTGTGTGACAGGTTGACGTTGACGTTGCCATTACCAACTTTGAAACAAGAAATTCAGCGTGTCCTAATAGAAGCTGTTTCGATACGCATTTGAGAGACATAATGACTTCATCAAAGACGCAAAATAGAACATTTTTTTGTGACTTCTTGTGTCCAGCACAGCTGCCCACTCAGTGACATCGAAGTAGGTGCGTTCACATCTCAGTTAAATAATTGCGGTATGTCTTCAGCTTCAATGCAACGGCACTGTATAAATTACAACTGATTCATTTCTTTTCGCAATGATTCAATCTCGATGGAGATAAAATGATTCGAGACTCGTTTGTTACAGGTTGAAGTAAAACCTAAGGGCTTTTTACGGATTGTTATTTGGAACTAATTAAAAACTTTACCTCACTGGAATACCTATGATGCATTAATTAACTCATCCTCCAACTGTTATTCTTTTTTTCAAAAACACGATGATGACTATGCATGTAAAAACTTACTTAATTAAAATCCCCAGACTTATCGGGATAACACTTTTGCGAGATGGAATAAACAAGTCTCACTCACAATCATAATCCTAATTATATTAATCAAAGTTTGAACAAGCCCTTTTTCAACTTAGATATCCTATACAGGGTTCTTCACAAATTATACGACAAATGTTCACCACATATACACTATACAGTCTTATATACGAAGTCGATTACAAATAAAAGGAAATAAAAATACACAGGAACCGGGAGACTAAATGGAATGTGTAACACTTTTCTTACTATACTGCCTATATACAAAAGCTGATGTTCGTAATGGTTTTCATTGGCTCCAACCAGGGCCTACTCTATCTCACCCAACGCAATCCTGAGCCCATCGAATCTAATTCTATGAGTACCTGCTAAAATACTCTTTCTTGGCTGCCGATACGATCAGGTCAGTCACTCAATTCCTCGATATTTTGAACAGTTTGAAGAGGAGTACGGTATATTTTTCTTTCAATTTTTCCCATGAAAAGGAATCCCAAGGATTTGGATTTAGCGATATATTTGGACCTGATTATCATCATATAGTTTTCTGTTGGACTTTCATTAAATTTTCTTGCGTAATCTACTCCCTGTGAAGTTAAAATTTGTCGGATGAGTTGTTGAACACCCTGCATATCGGGTGTTAGATTAAAGTTGCACGAAACTCCGAGGTGAAATTCTTTGTGTTCAAATAAGAATAAGGTTTATGAAAGCATATGTATGAAAACGATTAGTTTCCAAGATACACTCTAACCGATTCGGACAAATTTCAATTCACTGTTGACATTATAATTCGGCGTATTCCGAAAATGAATCTGAAGGATTGGAATTCAGCGATAATAGTACATTATACATCAAGGGACAGAATGCAACTTTTTTCCATGGTGCGATTTATAGCTCGAGGGCGAAGCCCGAGAGTTAGATGCAAAGCACCGAGGGAAAAATAGCATTCTGTCCTGAGGTATGTGTACTATTTTTCACGCTATAGCGAAAACACCAAAATTAAGATTGAATAAAAGTTGGACGAAGTGTTTTGTCATAATTAGAAATAGTATAGTTTGTGGAATTCCTATCTTGACAACATGCATCTTGTTGTTTGTATTAAAAACATGATGTTTCCAAACCATGTAGGACCCATCAAATGTAATGAGCATTGGTTTTCTTTATCAAAATGAAAAAAGTTACAAGTTTTCAATTGAATGAAACACTGAATTCATCAGTTCTAGAGTAGGTAGGTACATATCAAAAACATAGAAGTCCTTATTCTTATATAGGTAACTATTATGAAAATGGTGTCTGCTATACATATCCTTTGGTTTATTATGATTGATTATGTTGTTAATCCTTTCTCTTAATGGCTGCTATCCACATTTTCCTTATTTTTCTTGATAGCTCCTTCATCTGTGGGTGATGCACAGAGTTTTTCACAGTATCACAGTATGAATGTGAAAATACAGGAAATGGTCCCAATCTGCACGGCTTCCGCAATCCACCACAATACACGTTACTGGCAATTTGCTTTAAAATCATACTGAGTTTTCAATATCCACAATAAATCTAACCAACACTAAATGAAATAATGCCTACTCTAAAAAGCCTTATTCTCAATTGATAGTACATGAAAAATTAAGAGAACCGTTTTGATCAATTATAAATAGTTTCGACACGAAACATTTTTAAAGTTAAAAAATTTCGATTTTTCACACTCTATATCTTTGTTATCATTCCCGCTAGACCCCAAGTGTGATAGATCGATGGAATCAGCTCTTCAGAGAAAATCTGAAAATGGAATGATATACAGGGTATTCCATTGGAAAAATCAAAGTTGTTGCTACTTTTCAATATAAGCGGCAACGTCGCAACGCTGAGAATATTTCAGGTCGATAGAACACAACTAATTATCCAAGGCACCAACTTTTTAGAATAATCCTGAGTTGCGTTCTCCAGAAACGTCTAATGTGCCGCCCACCCTGTATAGGTTCTATAGTGAGTTGTGGAAAAATCATTTTATTTCATGTTATGTGGAAACTTTTATTTCCAGTACCCTTGCTCCTCGAACTCCAAAACATGTCCCACCCCTCATTATAACACTTTGTCATTGAAAATCGTGGAGATGATTTGGAGATTTTTTTTTCTAAATTAAGGTTATTATTGTTATTATCATTATTATTGAACCCTCGATCTTCTCCTCTAATATACCTACATAGCGTGTTTCTGAACTTCCGCGAAATTTATCGAAAGCTGATTCCCAGGACAAAGATAACAAAGTTCTTACCAACATGAGGGCGAAAATTCTTCCTAAGGGAGCAACAGCACGTCAAGATGTGTTATTGATAGTGGTTTTCATTCAATATCTCCGACACCGTTCAATGGATGAAAAAGAAAGTTGGCACAATTGATATCGATTTCATTATTGGTCGAATACTCTTGGAACTTCCATAAAAACCATCAAGAAGTGGTTCAAAGAATATTAGGAGAATTAATTATGACAATCACTCAATAGGTTCACGGGTTGCGATTTCAGAACTGTTCAAGAATCGTTCTCGAACTGCGTAGAACTAGTGCGCAATCGTTTCGAATCCTAGGATTGTTTCAGAACGGTTCACAAATTATGAAAACCTGAACGCGGAACGCGGCAGAAGAAAGAAAACCTCTGAGAACATATAACCTTTATTCAGAATTTGCGAAAAAAACAATAGTTTGGAACCTGTATCTCTATTCGAATTATATTCTGAAGCTTCAAACTCTCCTTTGGGTCTATTCACAATATCTCTGGAAACCCTCTGCGGAGGAATGGTGAATATATTAGATCATATCATTGGTAGCTAGATTTTCGATATTATGTTTTGTCCCTTGTACCTACATGAATTTCGACACCCACCTGAAATGTTCAATGAATTGTGTTTCTGAATTCAAAGTTTATTCTGACAGCAGTCGTAGCCCATTACTCCTGAAATCTTATGGCTATGTTTCATGGAGTGACTTTCAGAAACTTTGAAGAATGTATCATAAAAATCGGTAACACTTTTGTAGGAAAGAGCACAGATCCAATGCTGAAAATTTCAATCAATGATAACATTTTATATAAAACTGAAAAGTCATACCCAATAACGCTCTTCCTTTCCATTTATCCATCATAACCTTCATAAACCCAATCAGTCTTGTATCTCTGACACTACTTCTTGTACCACGTATACTACAGTCTACAGTTCCTTGTAGCCATCTTATACCTCAGGTATGGGTATGTTCTTCATTTGTCACTTTTGTCAAAAACCAAGTTCCATTGACGAGCTCTGACACAGCTGAACAGCTCTCTGTTATCTCAAACATTGACAAATCAACATTTCTTGGCTGATATTAATTGATTGAATTGAAAGTACAATGATATAATTATGTATTCGCTGAAAAAATACAGGTTTCTTTCCCCCGACTTTGAAGATAAAGCGGTGCCATGATCTAACTGGGTTATACTGTATAAGTATATATGATCTGAATCCTCTTATGCCCGACGGAATCAAGTCACGTTTATTTGGTCTGCATTTTCTCTGAATTCCTAGAACTGCTCGAAAATAAAAAAAATAACCCCCGAGATTCTTATTTACGTACAGAGTAAATATCTCCCAACTACCTATACGCAACATCAATATGAATACTCAAAGACGCAACTGCAATGCAAGTTGTCTCTAAACCCTAATACAGGATGACATCAACTAATGAAAATCTATAAGAGGTGTTTAATTGGGAATGGATGGTACCTCAACAGTATACAGAGATAACTGGGGTGGTTCTGATTGTACCATTTTACCCATATGGTCTGAACTCTGAACCACTGATCTATAAAATAACAAATACAATGTAGGAATACTTGAGATTGCGCGTTTGCGTTTTTCGAAACGGAACACTCTAGTAGTTGTGCCTTCTTGTTTTACATATATTATAGGTAGACATCAAATCAATAAACATAGTGCTCTCGCCATCGGTATTTGCCGAACTTCGCTATGGGAAAAATGTTGGGATGAAGAATGATCTATACAGAAATCTAAATGTGTGTATCTAAATAACACCGAAATAATTCAAGGGGTGATTCCTTGTGATATAATATGATGAATGAAGGTCATATAAACATGTGTCCTAAACTTGCTTCGTTTTCGAGGTACAGGGTTACGTCCTGATTTCGAATCCGCGAAGTGATTTTTAACCTATCTTGCCTCCTAATATCATTTTCCGGAAATGTTGGTGGGTCCATGACCAGAGCAATGTTTTTCACTGAAGATTACCTCACTTTGGTCATAGTTGGTATATAAGTATATCTATCGCTCCTCAAAATTGAACAGTTACGTTAGATATACGGGTTGATATTCCATTATAGAAGTGACATGCACACTGTTTATATTTTTAAATACATCCAGAGTGGGATTGAATTTTATTTTATGTTGAATATTAGAGTGTGTTTTTTTATGTGATATATTTGTTTTGTTTATTTCAAATATATATATTTTTTTAGTAGGCATACTCTAGTACTTCTTTTATATAATTCTGAAATCTGATCCACCCTGTATTTGATTCAATTAAATGGCATCAGTAGATAGTAAATAGAATGTTAGGATGAGGACACATGTAAGCCATTTTGACAAATCAATATAGGTATTGTATAGTTTCGATACAAAAAAAATCTCGATTTTTCACATTCTACGTATAGGTAGGTATACCTTGAGCTTGATCAACGAAATCATAGCTCAATTAGAAGAATCGAAAAATGTAATAAAATATAAGGTGTTCCATTTTGAATAACAAAGCTAGCTGCTAATACTATACTACTAAGTGTACTACATAACTACTAATAATTATTTCTAGTGAAGCAGATATGAACATTATCGAAAATAATTTGAATAAAAACGAGCGTCCTCGCCAACAAAACATAAGCATATAATATGTACATATAGTTTCATGATTTTCGATGAGTGGTTCGCTATTTACATGTAGGACTCGTCGTGACATAGCCTCGGACATAGCGAATTATTGCAAATCAAATCATCGCTTTCATTATCTGATAGGTCGCAAGATCACCTGATGCCTATCAAACGTTTCTTATTTATTCGGATTCGGCTTCTCTCTCTGAAGATTATTTGTCAGCAATTTCGATGTTATTTGTGTTTGGTGTATCCAGCGAAGAGACATTACACGTCTCTTCGCTGGTGTATCGCAACGACTTGAGGTAACTAAGGAAATGCCCCTTCCTATGCTGTTTACGTATCGGCCATCTTTTGATGACATTAATGACGATTGGTGATTTCGATTTAATATCAGCAGTTGATAATTGTATTATTGAATGTTTCATATAGTTACATGTTTGTTTAAGACATGATGGCGTGTTCAGCTTATTTTTGTGGAAATTCGAGCAATGAGAAAGAACCTGGGATTAATGAGGGTTGATATTCTCGTTCTCATCAGATGGCGTTAGCGTTACCAGAACGTGAGGTCAATGTCAAAGTCAAAATTTCCTAAATTTTTCCTATCATCAATTTCATCAATGAGCCCAATTTCGATAAATATATATTTCTATTCAAACATGTTCTTCCTCCACTACCCAAGCTTCAAAGAATCCTGGCAAAAATGTTTCTATTCAAAGAGATTCTACTCGAAAAGAAATCTCCGAGATGTTAGGTTGACAATCATTTCAAGAACCTATACAAGGTGTCCCATAAGTCATGGATCAAAAAAAGTGTGGTGGTAGGGGGGCTCATTTCAATTAAATCGATTATACAGGGTGTTTCTTAAGTACCTGTAGAAAATTCAGGAGCATGATGCTGGCGTCAAAATAAGAAGAAAAGTTCGTATAAATATGTGTCCAAAAGTTATTCGCTTCTGAGATACAGAGTGTCAAAGTTGAATTCTTATTCTTGTTTTTTGTTAATAAATTTCAATATGATTGTTATATTCGAAAAGAGTTTGGAATATCGGGGTAGTTTCCAATGACGATATCAAGTTTTCTGTTAGTTTGTCTCTTTCGTGGAAGTGGCGCCACCTACATGTCTTTTAAATCTTTTGAAAAGTCATAACTTTTTTGTGCGTACCTGTATCACGTTTTATAGTAGAAAAATATATTTCTAGAACACTTTTGTGTAAAGAATATATTCTTGGTAGAGGTCGCTGCGAGCAACTGTTTTCAAGTTATTGGGATTTGAAATAATCAATGCGAGTAATTTGGAATGACAAGAAGCTGGAATTCAAAACTGATTTATCAAGTATGGGGAATTATTTTTCTTTAATTTCATTTTAAAATACGAATCGGGCGTTGATGCAATTTGATACTAATGATAATAACAGTAATCAAGACCAAACTATATAATACTGAAACAGTTAGTTGAGGGAATTGATTGAAGTCATTGTTCAGAGTGGCCAAAAAAGTAGGTTCAAATTCAAATGCATCGATTATTCCAAATCCCAATAACTCGAAAACAGTTGCTCGCAGCGACCTCTACCAAGAATATATTTTTCACACAAAAGTGTTCTGGACAAATATTTTTCTACTATAAAACGTGATACAGGTACGCACAAAAAAGTTATGTGGCGTCTTCACTACGAAAGAGACAAACTAACATAAAATTCGGTATTGTCATTGGAAATACCTCTAGATACCAAACTTCATTCGAGTATCACAATTATTCTGAAAATTATCAACAAAAAACAAATATTAGAATTCAACTTTGACACTCTGTATCTCAGAAATGAATAACTTTCGGAAATATATTTATACGAACTTTTCTTCTTATTTGGATGACAGCAACATGCTCCTGAATTTTTTACACGTACTTGAGAAACACCCTGTATATGTGGATATACAATTGTTCATGGTTCAAAAGTTATTCAATTCTTCTGAAAAACGCGATCCATCGAAATAAAATATAACGGGAATAACCCCATATGTTATACCATTTCAAAATCTGTATTGAATGGACAACTTCCTCTGATAGTTGGTCATCTTTGTGGTGATGTTTCTGCTGCCAGCAGCATTGAAAAATCAACTGAATTCAAATCAACATAACTTAAGTAGAACAATTAATTCATACAAAGTAACACAGTTAATGAGTATTTTTGCTTGGGAAAAGTGCAATCATGTGGATGGAATTTGTGCAAGGCAAATACATTTTTTCACTAAACAAACTGCATGATTGAGGGAAGAAATTAAAAAAATTCAATAACTTTTGAACCATCAAAAATTAGATAACCACATATATTCTTAGTTTGATTGGAAATGATTACCCCTACCACCCTACTTCTCTTGATTCATGACATATGGGACACCCTGTATACAGGGTGGCATTGAAATAAGTGCAAATACTTCAAACACTGAGAAATCTCGAAGTGGACTATCGAATGACACTAATAAAAAAAAATTACGGATCAAAATAAAATTTGAGGTTATTCCCTTTTTTCCATCCAAAGTTCTACACTGTAGCAAATCTGACGTCACCTCTGTTCGAATTCACACATTCAAATTGTTTTAAAGTGGTGTACTTGATTTTTTTCTCGTATTTTGTTCAATTTTTGGGATGAAATTTCTCGTTAATTAAAAGAATTAGGAAAAATCTGATATCAAGGAAATATTCCTTAGAAATGAATGTGCTGAATATGTGCACTTATTTCAAAAACACTTTGTATGGTGAAAGAGTTAGGTACTTCGTTTTCGAATCACCCACCGAAATATCGGAATACAATTTTCTATCACCGTGTATATGTGTGGCTTGTGAAAGCTCAAGGTAATTTTACAGTATATTCATAACCAATTCGGTGACCTCTAGCTACTGTTAACTTTTTGTCCTCTTTCCAATGAAGTACTCTGTATATAGCATATAATGCAGGTTTATATACAAAATATAATATAACGATTCTAAATCACTCCATGGTAATCTCCAAAATCCAGTAGCGCGATTTTCATCAACAGAGTTTAGCGTCAAGCTGATGCCATGAATTCTCTAAACTAACATTGATCTGAAATTAGAACACCCTGTATGTCTGCTCCGCCCTTTGAACTCTGACCGGATCCATACCTCACTCCTCCAACCTCGCTACGTTCTCTTGTTCCAGCACCAGCCTTATCAATTGATAAGGTGTCGTTCACCTAAGGGCATTGAGTAAGGGCTAATGAATGTTCTGCTTGCAGGTGACAGGCACAGCAGACAGACATCCACCGATACGGCTGTGGAAGAGCCGATAGCCGAGGCATGCAAGCCATTTGTCAACGTCAGTAATAACCAATTTTTCAGTCCCGGATACCCCGCAGACACCTACACAAATAATACGGATTGTGTAGTCGTATTGGAAGGTAAGAATTGATAGGTTAGAGTGCTTTGGAAGTCTTTCTGCTCTCTGTAACATTCATCATACTCGTTGTGCATTATTCGTATCTCCAATGTTCGTATACAGGGTAACAATTCGAAAACGAGCATCAGCTCTCAATATTTATGAGAAATCACGAAGAAAGGAACTCAAATTCATCACCACAATAGTTGATAAAATGAACTAAAATGCTAGATAACAAGAAAAAACAACTACTCTCCTGATGGCTATATGCCACGCAGAACATCTTTCCGAAATCTGCAATAATTCGTATATACGAATGAAACCGCAAATGTTTCCTTCCCAAACGCCGAGCTGCGCCTTATAGTGGTTCAGGAACGCGTGACTACCTACAGACCGGTTTCGATCTGGTGCGAACCTGACCCAACAGAAACGCATCTCAGCATTTATACCCCACGAGGCGTTCAACGTCCGCGAAATGAAGAACGAACGCCGAACGCCATCTGGCAAGGAAAGAAACACTCCAAAACAATATCCTATTTCAGGTGAAATGGGAGTGGCTGCTTGCCCGACTGGCGTTTTTTCAGCCAGGAAAAAGTCAAATACACAAAGTGGAATGTAATGGTCACAAAGAGAGACACTCAAAGACATTACCACAATAGTTCATGAAATGAACGAGAATGTTGGGTCAGGCTGGCACCAGATAGCGGTCAAGAAGCTATCTGGGAGACAGCCCTGCAATGATGAGAGCCAACAGCTCGAAACCAGTCTGTAGGTAGTCACGCGCTTCTGAACCACTTAGGCGCAGCTCGGCGTTTGGGAAACACTTGCGATTCTATTCGTCTATACGAATTATTGCATAGATTTCGGACGGAAGTAATCGATTGTTCTGCGTGGCATATAGCCGGGAAAGTAGTTTTTCTCTCGTTATCTACCATTTTCGTTCATTTTATGAACTATTTTGGTGATGACTTTGAGTTTCTCTCTTTGCAACCATTGCATTCCACTTTGAGTATTTGGCTTTTTCCTAGTTGATTTCTAAGAATGATGATACTATGAAAATATGTCTTATTATGACAACCTATATGGTAACATCTATGACAGTATATCCGTGGCCTTATATCCGCGTAACTATAGACGGATGTCAATAGCCAAACGGCTATGCATCATTATATTTTCTATCCCTTCTGATCACCTATCTGCAGTCGGTTGGAAGTTGAAAAATTTAGCTGCTAAATTCGATAAGTACAATGTATTGGATTGATAGTGGTTTCACTAATGTATTGTTATTGCATTCTCATTCATAAATCTATATGAGATATCCAAATATGTAATTTGATGGAAAAATGCGAACCAGAAATGCTCGGTCAGCAAGAAATTTTAAAAAACTGCAAGAATAAACTACCCCTCTGAAAGGGTCGATCGAAATAATTATACGAACCAGTATTGCTCGGTCAGCAAGGATTTTTTCTGAAGGAGTCGATCGAAATTATTTCACTGGTGGCATCTATATTTCTATATGAGATATTAAAATATGTGATTTGATGGAAAAATGCGAACCAGAAATGCTCGGTCAGCAAGGATTTTCGAAAAACTGCAAGAATAAACTACCCCCTGAAAGGGTGGATCGAAATAATTCCACTGGTGGCATCTATATATCTATATAAGATATTCTAATTACAATTTGAAAAGGAAATTCGGATCAGAAATGCTCAGTCAGCATACTTTAATTTTGGTCAACAAATTATACACCCCCTCGTGGATGTAATGACAAACATTCATTTATATATACATTCAACTATATTCAACTATATACCTTGCTCGCGTTGCTACGTTACTTACTAAAATACATTTGAAAGAAATACAGTACACAAATATTGAATCAAGTTTGAGTCATTTCATTGATTGTAGCTGACCCGGCAAACGTTGTTTTGCGATCTACATTATTTCTAGAAAATATTTTTTCAATTGAATATTCAACAACACACTTCGATCATTTCATTTTCTACTTCTGTTTAGTTTGACTAACCATAAAAACTTGGTTTCTGAATTTTTCAAACTACTATTCATTTTTTACGCTGGCAGGAGTAGAAGCTAGTTTCTCTGGTAACAAAAGAGGGGCAGAAGTCTCGTATTATTCCCTAGAGAGATAATTTGACATATTTTCTCCCTGGGGAGTTTATACCAACTTAAAATGTTCCGCATATCTCTGCCCTTTCTTTTCGGAACACACTTCTCTGAAGTGAGTATAAGCTGCATCATACAGAATACAGATTTCTAGATCTCACTGGTAGCAAGTTGAGAATCACTTCAGAAGCAGTATCAATAGTTTCTTAGGGTTTTCCCTCGATTTCTTGTTCCATAAGCGTTAACCATTTTCAAAGCTGTTTTCATAAATTTCAGTTAGATATTTGCTGTCACCATAGGTTGTCAACAAGTTGCTTGTTGTCAATATACGAATTCCACAAACTATACTACAACTGATTATGACAAAACACTTCGACCGAATTTTCATTCTTTTTCAATTGTTGTGTTTTTGCCAGCGTAAAAAATAGTATGTACACCTCAGGACAGAATGCTATTTTTCTCTCGGTGCTTTGTATCTCTCGGGCTTCGTCTTCGAGCTACAAATCGCATCTTGGAAAAAATCTTGCATTTCTGTCCCTTGATGTATAATGTACTATTCTACTTCCTTTCAGTTCGGTATCTTATCTCTTCAGTACAAAAACTATACTTTTCATTTTCTACTCCTTTTTAGTATGGCTATCAATGAAAACGCATTTCATTAGTTTTTCGAAACACTATTTATTAATGAGCTCGTTCGACATGTTGAATCCGCCATCTTGAATTTTCAAACCATCAGAATGGATCTGTCATCTTGAATGCCCAAAATTTGATGAAAGAATCATAATCTCCGAACCCGAAAACCCCCAGATACCAAGTTTGAACAAAATATCGGAACATATCGTCCGCGATGTTGGACCCACCATCTGAAATTTTCATATTTCGAGGAAAGAATCATAATCTTCGACCCCAAAATCCCCCATATTGAATAAAATCGGATCATAATTACAAAACTCGTTCGCCATATTGGATCCGTCATCTTGAATTTTCCAATTTTGTCAAAAGAATCATAATCTTCGACCCCGAAATCAACCATATACCAAGTTTCAATAGAATCGGATCATAATTAATTACAAAACTCGTTTGTCATATTGGATCCGCTATCTTGAATTTTCCAATTTTGACAAATGAATCGTAATCTTCGACCCCAAAAGCCTCGAGATACCAATTTTGAATATAAACGGATTATAATTACAAAACTCGTCCACCATATTGTCCGCCATCTTGAGTTTTCTAATTTTGACAAAAGAATCATAATTTCCGACCTCAAAAACCTTCAGATACCAATTTCAAATAGAATCGGATTATAATTACAAAACTCTTCCACCATATTGGATCCGTCATCTTGAATTTCTTAATTTTTTCCCTCATAGGAACCTTCTCCTGACAAAAACAAATACAACAAAAAAAGATTTAGTGAAATCGGTCAAGCCGTTTACGATATTATAAAGGACATACAGACAAACATTCATTTTCATATATGTATAAGTAGAGAGATCATTTGTTGAATAGAAATATTCATTTATTCAGTTATTTGAATCATTCCATACAAGATTTTGATACTAGAACTAATAAGGGCACTCCTGGTGGCAAAAGAGGAAGTACGCCTCCTCACTCACCACACATTTCGTTGACGATAAAGAAGACGAATGGAAATCGTTGTACTCCTGCCAAGCATTGTGATGGGGATGACGGTAATGAGCCGTGTATCAGTTGCCTTAAAAAGTCCCCTCAATATTCCTTTTATCATATATTATTTCACTCCCAGTCACGGATGTCAAGCAGGTGACGTTCTGACGTTAGTTGTTGCTCAGGAATGCAGAGTCTGCTGACCGAAACCACCAAATGTGCTTCTGTTTGTTAACTCCGTCGATTTGTTGTTTCGTCTTCCACCAAGTGTTTCCTATGCTTTGCATTTTTTTCACCGTATTGATGAGGGCCGATAGCCCGAAACAATAAAGAGTTGGATTATACATGTGACGATAGGAATGAATTAGTTCTGAAACAAACGCTATGGTAGGTATCTGAAGAGTTTCGATTCAACATTGTCGATAATTAATAAAAAACAAATACAACGAATCGCTGCAAGCACAGAAATCCAGAAACACGATTTTTCTCAAATTCACTCAACTCATAATGAGGACAATTCACCAAAGAATTCTACAATGGTATACGAGATCCGTCGATGAAAAGAACGCTTTCTAGCTAAGTGGAGGCACGCATTCGTTTTCAACGCTTGCATTCGGAGATACTCGAGTGTAGTCCTTCGTTCTATTCAAATGAAATCATGATGAAAGCTTCTCCATATGAATGCCGTAGCGTGGGAGAAAAATGAATTTTCCATATGAAATAACACTCGGAAAATTCACCTCTCGTCTCGACTTCCCTCTATGCATTTTAAAGTGATGCAAAGAACACATTATTTCGTGAAGTAGAGTTAAGATTTTTGACACCTTCTCAACTCTTGTAAAACTCGCTTAGTTCAGCGAATTCATTATTTTCGAAACTGTTATTATTCTTCACTTGGTTACTCCATAACAAGACTACCTCATAGGTTTTAAGATGGAGATATTGCAGGAATTACATCCTGGGGAACCAACAACATAATTGGAATCTACGCCATCAAAACTCAAGTCTGGTATCACCATTCCCACCAAGCCGACTATAACCATGCTCGGTATTTCCATCAGTATACCTCTTTCATGGGGAAATCATGTCAGATCCATCGCGACAGCTGCTTCAGAAAAACTCGGATTTTTATTTCATGCGAGAATCCACTTTACACCTCAACATCAGCTTTCCATGATCTACGAAGCACAGATACGGCCTGTTTTAGAATACTGTTCTCACAAATGGGGTTCAGTACCTAAACATACGCTGATGCTCTTAGATTCCATTCAG